TTCTATTCTTTTTTCTTCTCCCTTCCTTCCTTTCCCCCGCCCCCTCCCTTATTCCCCTCTCCATTTGAACATTTTCTTCCCATTTCCCAATATCCATTGTATATTTTGGTTGTTATTTACAGTTTCAGTTTCACATAACAAAGGAGTGACTGACATTTGCAAAATGACTTTGGGGCAGGGGGCCATAGAGCCAACAAGGCTGGTCCTTAGGCCAAAACTGGGGTCTGGACTGTACTAGGACTAGGGCCCCATACTAGCCTTGGGGGTTACAGGTCCCTAGCCCACCTCCAAATGGCAGGTCAGCTGCCTCTTGTGACTAATGAGTCTCTTTTCAGACAGTAAAAGGTTAGAGGTTGGAGCCTCCTATCAGGCACTTTCACCACAATTCCCACTGCCTCCTGACCCCCACAGCCATGCCCAGGTCACACCCCTTTTGTGGAACATCAAGCCAGACACAGCCAGTGGAGGTTGGGGATACCTCAGAGGACCACCTGCCATAAACAGCATAGTCAAAGGGTCATGATGGGAGACTACAGTGTCCCAGGGCTCCAGACAAGTAAACACTGTGGCCTCAGAAAGGGCAGAGCGAGGGGCAGTGGTCACCTCAGGGTCTCAGTGCTGAAGGCATAAGGTCCTGACATCTGTATCCCCTTCCACAGCTCAGCTGTCCTGTGACCCTCAAAGTTGGTCAGCTAGGGATGAGGAGGGGGTAACAACAAGGTAGGACTGCTTTGAGCAAGCAGATGGCAAGGGTCTGGGTGGCCTATATCCACAGTTCAAGTCTCTAATGGGGCAGTGGGCAGGGATCTTCAGGTGGTTTGCATCTCAAGCCTCTTCTGGGGGTAAGAATGTCTGTCTTCACCACACTTCATGGCCACACATCAGTCCTGTCCCACAAGGACGCCAAGGTTCAGGGCAGATGTCCATCTGCCTCTGATCTGGCCCTTCTAGCTGATAGGCATGGTCAGATGGGAGGCAGCTGGAAAGAGCAGAAGGCAAGAGGAACTTTCCATACACCACCTGGGGGCCAGGGTAAGGCATGGCCTGAACTTCCTCCACCCAGCCTTAGCCCCTCCTCAGGAAGCTCCCTGCCTAAGCAACTTCTCTCTCCAAGTTCCTTGGCACAGAGAATGTGCCAGGGCAAGGAGGGCTCTCTGTGTGTATACTCTGCTTATACTTCAGAAGTATACCCTGGCCAAGGCAGGAGGGGTTGCTGGCTTTCAGCTGCTCATCACTAGGCGGCCCTTCCCACCCTGATGAGACAGGGTATGTTTGGACCTGCCCAGTGGCAGGAGACTTTCCTAGCCAATCCTGACTGCTACCCTTGGGAAGTAGCACAACACAAGGAGATGCCTGCTTCAGTCTCTAGCCACTGGTTATTTTCTCTGATGCAGAGTGTTCTCTTACTGGGGGAAGAGTGAATTTTGCAACCGACTCCCCTGGATTTGCATTTTCCAAGATCTGAATCTTGCTAAAACCTGGATGGTTACAAAGACCCTGTGCTCCTTCCAAGAACAGCTCCACACCCCTCTTGTCCTGGGGCTGCCTCTAGACTCCCTGCAAGATCCAGGACCAGGTTGGTTTCAGCTGAGAATAAGAGAGGTCTTATTCTTAGCTCAGAGCTTGTGGTGGTCCTCAGTTACCCCTGCCCCTATCCCTGCTCCTCATATTTCTCCAGAACCACACCCTCTACTTCTCGTACTGATCCCTCTCTGAGCCTCAAGGACAAGGTAAGTTACTGAGTTTGCCAAGTCCCTGGCCCATAGCAGCATTCAGTCCTCAGCAAAGCCTGGGAAGAGTGGTTAAGCCCAGGTTCCTTCACAGATACAGAAGATAGCTGGCAGTCAGACTGGAGTGCATGGGATGGGTGGAAATCAAACTTCATGAGCCTTTACATGGGTGAGAGCTGAGGAATGCAACAGCTCATATTCCTGAGTGTGCCTGTGTGCTGACCTGGGTATGCATCTGTGTGTATGTGTCTGAATGTGCATCTGCCTATACCTGTATGCTTCTGTACATACCTATGTGACTGTACCTGTACCTTAGTCCATGGGTATGCACCCGTGTATGTACCTGTGTATGCCTGCATATGTGCCATATGCACCTGTGTAATACTATGTGCACCTGCATGTGCCTGTGTATGCACCTATGTGCTCACCTATTTGAACAACTATATATGTACTTGTGTGTGTGTGTGCACCTAGAAATACTCACATGTGCCTGAGTGCAGTGAGTATGCCTGCATGTCCTGTGTCCGTAATCTGGATGGGTACTGAGCCTGATGATGTCTGTTGGTGAACATCCTTCTTGGGGGCAGACATCTTTGTAAAAGGGGCAGTGTGTCTGTGGTTTCGTTGTTATCCCTATTTCAAAGTTGCATTTGTCCACTTACTTCTGTGAGAGAAAATGGGACTCTCAAGACTGAAGGGCTTGGCATCTGTCTGTCTCCTGGGCAGGGGCACAAGTGTTTGGGGATGTTTGTGTATACTGGGGCTAGGTCTGCTTGAGGGCTGTGTTTGTTTGTTTGTTTGTTTCTCTGTTCGTTTGGAGACAGGGTCTCACTCTGTAGTTCAGGCTGGCTTCAAACTCACAGTGATCCTCCGGCCTCATGCTCCCAAGTGCTAGGGCTACAGATGTGTGCCACCAAACCTTGCTGGGCTGTGTCTTTATCTATCTGGCGGGATCCTGCATTCTGTGTGGGAGACTTGCTGGGGGTATTTGCCCGTGGTGTGGGGGAGGATATAGTTTTGACGGCTGTAACAGAATCTAAGTTTGGGGGATGAAGTGTGTGATTCTGTACTTGTATTAAATTTGGAGAGCATTGTGTTGTATGTGAGTATTTGGGGGGCTATCTATACTGTGTCTTGTATATAGGGCATGAAGCTATTCTGAGCCAGGTTCAGAAGCCCTGGTATCATAGGCACCCCATGGTCCTTTGGCAGCACACACTGGGACATTCCAGTTTGTCTCCATATATCTGTGCGATAAGAAGTAGGGCTTGCTGCTGTGAATCCAGCCCATATAAGGTGGTCCTTGTTCCATCTTTCAAAGAGAGACTCAGGGCATGGTGGTGCATGCCTATAATCCCAGCACTTGGGAGGCTGAAGCAGGAGGATTTTCATGAATTTGAAGCCAGCCTGGGCTACACAGTGAGTTCAAGGACAGCCTGAACTAAGTAGCAAGATCCTGTCTCAAAAAAAAAGAAAAAAAGTTAAATTCAAAGAGAGAGAGACAACTAGAAGAGGCAGGTGTTTTTCCTAAGCCCCACAGCTGGTAGGGGGCAGGTCTGAACAAAAGCTTGTCATAGGTCACAAGAGCCTTGTTTGGAAGTGGAAGGGCCTGGGTCTTGTTTTGCCCAGCCTGGCTCCCAGGCAGATCATTTGGAGGCAGCAACGCCAGGGATCACGGCTGTGCAAAGGGAAGATCTCCACACACCAGGGCTTTCTCTCCTGCTACATGGCACATCTGATGGCCCAGGTGCCCAGAGTGAGCTCATGCATCTGGGCCAGGATGAAAACTATTCCTACCAACCTCACTCAGGCACTGAGAAGCATGCTGAGGTTAAGGGGTGGGTTGTACAAGGATCTGGGGTGTCTGGGAAGCCCAAGGACAGTGGGAGGGCTGACAAAGGACAAAGTACCCACTTCTCAGAGCATCTACTCTGACCAGCAGTGGCAGAAGGTGCAGCCCCTTCACAGCTTTGCTACTCCAGTCTCAGCTCTTAGATGGGCTTGGCTCCATGGAGTGTGCTTTCACGGCTCATGGATAGCTGCAGATGGAGGGACACTGTTTTTCGTTTGGTGACCTGCCACCTCAGTTGAGGGCACATTAGAGGCACTATAAGGGTGGAGGAAAGTCTGGAGATTTGTCCTCAGCCATTCCTGTCCAAATGCATTTTTCATACAATTACACAACTCATTCAGCAAACTTACTGAGCTTTACTTTAAGGTTAATAGCCAGACACATCAAAGCCCATGTCTGAAATTACAGTAAAGATACACAAGAAAGCCCAAATGAACAGACCTATTTTAAAATGAGGTCAGGGGCCCTGGTTGGTCTCAGCCACATTTTGAGACTAGCCTGGCCTCAGACACACCTGAACCAGCAGGAGGAAAAGAGCCAGGCTTCCCTTCCATGAGGCAGAAAGGAAGCTGATTTCTGTTCTCCACCTCACTGTGTGTAAGGCAGGGCCACCCTTTGTGGAGCCACTGCAATCCTTGTTAGCCCTCAGAGTAAACTCTGCAAAGCCGCCACTATCACCTGTGTACAGATAGGGAATCTGGCCAAGCTCTGACACTGCCCTTCTCATCCAAGGCTGCTCACTTGCCCACTGACCCCTCAACCCCTCTGCTGACACCAGGATTCCCTCCTTGTTGCCTGGCCACTAGCTCAGTGACATCCCTGAAGCCCTCTCTCTCCTAATTCTTAGATCCCTGTCCACTTGTCCCTAAGAGTGGATCTAAGTCTAGAGTGACCCCAGCCATAGGTACTTTTTTGGGGGTGGGGAGGGATGCCAGGGATCAAACTCAGGACCTTATGCTTGCCAGGCAGGTGCTTATGCCACTGAGCTATATCCCCAGCCCAGCCATAGGTACTTCCCAACCCAGGGATAGGGGTGTGAGCTGGCTGTGAGCTGACCAGTCCACGCTGAGGCAGTGGGGGCAAGGGTTTCACACTGTCATCCAAAGTGTTGTTTGTAAGTTCATACAGACAGATCTCTCAAATGAGCTCACTACTCCTAGACATCTCCTCCAAGACAGACAGCATTTGTCTGATGGATGTCTGGGCTGTGCTGAGCTTTGGCTTCCACTCAGCAACCTGTGGAAAACTGACCTAAGTGCCATGGCTGAGCTGTGAGCTGAGGGAGGAGTATGCAGAGGGATGAGGTCTCCCTTTCCACTCTAGGGAGATTCAGCATGGGGGCAGGGGAAATTGCTGATTTCTGCCTACTGCCTGCCCAACCATGTACCTCTACTCCCCAAAGTAGGACCATGGGCACTATGTCTGCAAGGAGCAACCACTCAACAGTGTCTGAGTTCATCCTGGTGGGCTTCCCGGGATCCCTAGGGCTCCACCTGTGCCTGCTGGTGCTGTTCCTGATAGCCTACATGCTGACCATCACAGAGAATCTGATCATCATTGCAGTGATCTGTGCCAGCCCTGCACTGCACAAGCCCATGTACCTCTTCCTCAGCAACCTGTCCTTCCTGGAGGTGTGGTACATTTCTGTCACAGTGCCCAAGATGCTGCTCAGCCTGGTTATTCCTGAGTTCCAGCGTATCTCTTTTGCAGGCTGCATGGCGCAGCTCTACTTCTTCCTGGCCCTGGCCTGCACCGAGTGCACACTCCTGGGAGCCATGGCCTATGACCGCTATGTAGCCATCTGCAACCCTCTGCGCTATCCAGCTATCATGAGTCCCAGCCTCTGCAGCCTTCTGGCTGCCGGCTCCTGGCTCTCTGGTTTCACCATCTCCCTGGGGAAGGTCTTTTTCATCTCCCGCCTCGGCTACTGTGGTCCCAACATCATGAACCACTTTTTCTGTGATGTGTCCCCACTGTTGAACCTTGCATGCTCCGACATGTCAGCGGCCGAGCTCGTAGACTTCCTCCTGGCGCTGCTCATCTTGCTGGGGCCGCTGCTGCTCACTGTCTTCTCCTATGCAGCCATTCTCAGCACAGTGCTGCGCATCCCGTCCACAACCGGCCGGCAAAAGGCCTTCTCCACCTGTGCCTCCCACCTGGCTGTGGTGATCATCTTCTACTCAGCCTCCCTCTTCATCTATGCCCGGCCACGCGCCATCTACTCTTTCAACTATAACAAGCTGGTGTCTGTGGTGTACACAGTGCTCACGCCCCTGCTCAACCCAGTCATTTATTGCCTGCGGAACCAGGAGGTCAAGCAGGCCCTGAGCAGGGCACTGCAGAGGGTGGCTCAGGTCCTGCGGGTCTATTCCTAGATGGGCCAGTACAGCTTCATCTGCTCCTAACCCCCCTGAACCTGCTCACCAGCAACCCTGGACAACCAGGCCGCTTCAGGGGCTGAAGGAAAAAGTCAGCATGTCTTCCTACCCTGAGTCCTCACTTACTGGGTAACAGCACAACCAGCTACCCCAAAATGGCTCACCCCCTTCCAGGGCCCCTCAGGAGCCCTTGCTTTGACCCCTAGATGCCACACAAGGGTTGTGCTCAGCTAGGCCTCTCTCTAACTGACCACTTGAGTAGGCTCATGTCAGCAGCCCCTTCCCCACCCAAGGGGAACAAAGTAAATGTCATCATCCCAGTTTCCAGGCAAGGACATCAACACACACACACATCACACAAACAGTTCAGCAACCATCAGAACCTCTGTCCCCCACCCCAAGCTGAGCCAACCCCGGGGCCTCTGCTGGGTAGCCCTTCCTCTATCCAGACCCGCATGGGCTCTATGATGGTTAGCCACAGAACAGACTAGAGAAAAGGACAAACCACTCAGCTGCAGAAGCCAGAGGAGGTAGAGCAAGAGGGACCAAAAATGTTCCTAAACAAAAACAGAAACTCAGCTTCCCAATGCCCATCTGAAACTGGCATATCCATGACTAGCATCCTGCTCTGTTAAGCACAAATGAGGTGGTAAATAAATTCAGGGCTTCTGGGGGCCCCTCCCACAAAGGTTAATACTCAGTGGCCCAGACTTCAGGCCCTCCTTGCCCCATCCCCCACCATCTCCCATACTCTGAGCAAATATGTTTCAATACCACTGGAGGGCAGAAGGCCCTGACTCCCGCCAAGACCCCTCTCATTGGTGTCCACACTGACCAAAGGCCTGGTTTGAAGGGCTTGTACCTCAGTCTCCCCTGTAAGAACTCTTTATCTGCTCCTCCTTAGAGGCTGAGAAGAGAGGGAAGGTCCCTGGCCACTGCATTAGTGGCCACTGCATTAGCAACCATAGCTCCAAATACCCATCTCAAAGTGCAAGAGCTCCAGGCAATGTGAGCTGTAACGATGCCATAAATTTTCTGCCATGACCTTCCAGGATCGTGAGGTCCCACACCCACCTCATGCCCAACCAAGAGCTGCAGATGCAGCATGTAGATGGATCAGGAGTCACATTATGTCTGTAACAGCTCTTTCAAGTGATGATTCCCAACCCTGCTGGTAGAGCTGTTCACCTGTGAGGTGAACACTTGGACTACTGAGCTCCACTCACATCCACCACAGAGCACATGAGAAGTAGAGGGTGGAGGCCTCACTGGGAACTCAGGTATTAGGATCAGCTGACCAACAGCTGCGTCAAAGTCTACAAACCACAGCCCCCACCCTGGAGCAGGTTGCTCACAGGGCACATACACATGCAGTCCAAGGACAGATGCCAGAGCATGATAACGGGGTCTCCAAGTACTGACAGCATAGAGCATGGCCTGCGGGTCTCTCTGGGGCTCTCTTTGTCTCACAAGGAAGATGAAAGCTGGGGCAGAGGAAAGGAGGAGCTAAAACCAGCCGAATTAGAGGAGTACTTCCAGGACTGTGGACAGGACTGACCTGAGCATCTCCTGTTGGACACTATTTGGCCACTGGGGGACCCATCTCTACATCTACATCAGAGGAAACACAGAGCCAGGCAAATATCCAAGCAGAAGCACTCTTTCCCTGCAGACTGGACAGTGAAGAAAATATCCCAGGAGGAGTGCCTTTACATAAAATACTACGAGTATGTCCTTCTTCCAAAATGGACATACCATACTTCCAAACCAAACTCCTGTAACCTGAGCCTTAAAAGAAATCAGAATAGAAGCATTGGCTCACTGATGCATTCTTTCATTAGTAAAGTGCATGTAAAGTGCCAGCTCCAGCCAGGGTCTTCCAGCCCTACAGAGAACAGGAGCATCAGGGAACTTACAGCCTGCTTTAATGATGGAAGCTGGAACCAGTGCCTACTGTCAGTGGAGTCTGCCTGGTGCCAGAGTAGTGGGGGCACAGGTTCTGTCCTGGATAGAGTATGGCACTCATGGGAGATGGAAGGTGTCTGCAAGTCAGCTGCAGCCATAGTGGGGGCATGCAGGACAGCAAGATGAGGAGCAGGGAAAGCATGCCCCAGAGTCAGGAAAGCTAAGGCACAGATTCCAGGGAACCTCAGACCCCTGTCACAGCCCTCCACTGGTCCTGTAAGGGTCTAAACCCAACTTGCCTCTCATAACAGTCCCCCGCCAAGCAGTGATGTACCATCTTCCAGGTCTTCCCAAGATCCCCTCCTCACCACCCCATGCCACTACCCAATCAGGATGCTTGCCCCACCCTAACCCAGTTATCCTTTCCCCTAGTTCGACCTGCCTTGTGCCATCAGGCTTCCAACTGTCCATAAATTGAATTCCCAAATCCTCATCAGGCCCATTGTGACCCAGCCATCCCCAGGCCTGCACACTGCAACCCATCACCAGCTGAGTAACCACCCAATACACCTGCTCCTGTCAGTCCAAACCCCCATGTAGGGACACTTGAAGTCAACCCCTGCCTAGAGCCCTCTTGCCAGCTTGTCTAAAAGAATACTTGTGCAGAGACGCATCCTAAAGCAGCCCAGCTCCCAGTGGGTGTTAGGTTTCCAGAGATGTGGACATTTATGTGCATCTCTGCGCCATGGGGCCAGGCTACTTCCTTTCTGTGCACCATCTTTCCAGGGCAGATGTGCCCAGAAGAAGAAAAGGCCCTTAAGCAGTGGGAGCCCCTGACAGAGAACAGAGACCTAAATGGATGGCAGTTGTGAACCAGCTCCACGAGAGCTGTTCTGTGGGATGGAAGAGTGAAATGTGTCACCTAAACACATCCAATCAGTTCTTTCCTCATTCCAGAAAATGGTAAAGCTCAGCCCTGACCCCAACACAATCCTGGACACAGTAAGCTGAGGGAAGCCCCAAAGATCCTGGACTTGGACACATCCTGACTTCTGAAAGCAGAGGGATGAACCTCAGGTGGTCACTGACCAGTGGCACTAGCCCCTACCTGATCCTTAGACATGGATGGAAGTCAGTTCCACCATCAGACAGGAGTCTAGAAGGTGCTTCTGTAAAGAATCTGAGTGTCCCACACTCAAAGAACTAAGGGTGCTGGCTGGGAGTAGGGAGAGCTCCAGCTGAATGTGCCAGCCTGGCACAGTCAGTATTTCAGATCTCTCCAAAGATCCAACACTTATCCAGGAAAGAGTTTCAGAATGAGAAAACAGAGAGGCTTGGGGATGCACACCAACCCTTCCTACGGGATGACTAGAGTTTCAGCCTTCTTGAAAGCAGCAAATGGGCAAAAGTCAGGGAGGAACTACCAGACTGAAGGGTAAGAAAGCAGGTGTCATGGTGGCGGCCCTGCACTCAGGCCAATGGCAGTTCCTTCTGCTACCACACCTTGCCAACTAGTGAGTGACCCTGGAAAAACACTCTGCTCTGCTAATGAAGCCAAAGAGCCACACCTCTGGAAAGAGGACCAGCCAGATAAGACCTAACCCCTGTGAGCCTAGGACAGCTCAGGATCATCAGTTGGAATGTCAAAGTGCAGACATACAAGCTTAGAGTCACATGATTCTAGATTTCTATCATGGGTGTGGAAGAAGTAAATACAAACAAAAATATCCTTTCTATAGGAACGTAACAGCAAAGTAAGTTCCAAACATGCCCTCAAATAATTCTTCAAAGACAGTGTTCAACACACAATCAAAGACAGTTATGCACATGAAAAAGTAAAGAACAATAGATAAGGGTAGGTACTGAGCTTATCAGAAACAGACTCTAAAACAACCCTGCCTACAAACCCAGGAAGACAGACCCTTACTTTGTTTTTCATGAATATAGGTGAAAATTTTCTAAATTGTTAGACTATAGACTCCAGTGATTCTATAGAGTATAGACTATTGTCCAATGATATACAAGACATAATACATCATAACCAAGTGTGGTTTGTACCAGCAATGCCGGTTTGGATTAACAGTTGAAAATCATTCACTGCAATTCCCCACAGTAACAAATTTAAAAAGAGAAACCATGTGGTCATCTCAATATATGCAGAAAAATAGACAAAATTAAATATACATTCCTTACAAAAAAAATCTCTCCACAAAGAATACACACACAACTGCCTCTTGACTCTAATACAGGCTTCTGCCTGAAAGAGTTAATTTAAACTAGGAGATATGACAGACATTGGGAATTGATAGGAAAGCACTCATAGGTAAAGGATAACTGGAATATGGGAAAAGAGAAGGGAAAGAAGGAGAAAGTTTGTATATATGTATATGCAGGATAGTTAACACAGGTGCTCTACTGTCCTGTATTTCCTTGCTGAAAGAAACTGTCAGTGAGGCATTGGTTGATTAGCTTTGTATGTCTGTATGTGTGTTCATGAGAAACTACATTGAAGATATCAATATGTAATACAATAAGCATTGTTAATTCCCTACCACTCTGTTTGTAACTCTGTAATGTCTGTACTGATCCTTTGCTATTTTGTAAAACATTGTCGATCCGTTAGTATTTTCCTCCTTTTATTTCTAAAATAAAAAAAAAATTAAAATAAAATAAAATAAAAAATAATACAGGCTTCTGCAGCAAACCCAGCTGACACCATCATTAATCATGAAGTCTGAACACTCTAACCCAAATAGTAAGGCAAGGCGGTCCACTTTTATCACTTCTGGTCATCATTTTATTGGAAGTTCTAGCCAGTCCAATAAGGCAATAAAAAGAACTAAAAGGATAGGAGAAAAAAAGTAAATCTGGGGGCTGGGGATTTAGCTCAGCGGCAAAGCGCCTGCCTGGCAAGCGCAAGGTCAAGAGTTCGGTTCCCGGTACCGGAGAAAAACCAAAAAAAAAAAAAGAAAAAAAAAAAAGTAAATCTGTTTTTCATGGCCGACATGATCAGCTAAGGAGATGCTATAATAGAATCCACAACAAACTACTAAAACTAATGCACTGCTCCGTAAGAAGTATATTCCTGTATG